TGCACAGCCTATTTAACTTAACGTTTACTCGGTGTGTATACGTATAGCTAGGGATTGCGAAGGGAAATATAGAAAAGTGCGTTCCGAGAAATTCGCACACCTGTTGGCGGTGTTGAGCGGCAACAAGAAAGGGGCGATTCTTCGTGGAACATCTTGCGCCAACTACCACGTTTTCGCGTATGGGGATGGATAAACGATGGATGGAGCGAAAGAGGAAAGAGGACGATTTTGCAAGGTCGATTTTTATCGTATCCGATACGATAAATCCGGAAGAATCATTTATTTTTCAAACGTCCGTTTGATGTTGGCGCGTAGCACTGGCAAGTAAAAGTTTATTTAATTTACGTTTTATAATTTTGCATCTACGTGGTATACACAGTCCTAGAAATACCCGAGCTGCACTGTGTTTCATATTTAGTAGCTTTTAACGTATGATTATTTTAAAAACGGTAAATATAGATAAGATCAGAAATTGAGGTATAATTTTGTATATATACGTACATAGCACGTGATCCAATTATTTAAAAATGAATGGGTTAATCGAATCTGTTGTTCTAGTTTCAAAGAGAGTATGATTTTTGTTAAATTGGATTTTAAATAAAAAATTAGTGTTAATAGTAATTTTAGTAGCTTTCAAGGTATGATTTTTTTTAAAATAAATATAGGTAAGGTGAGAAATTGAGGTATAATTTTGTATAGTATAGTATGATTCAATTATTCAAAAATGAATGGATTAATCGAATCATTATTTTTAAAAGGATAATTTTTGTTAAATTACATTACACTATTCTAAAAATACCTGAGCTAATTATTTTGATTATTTTAAAACGATAAATATAGGTAAGGTCAAAAATTGACGTATAAAATATATCATGGTCCAATTATTTAACAATTGAATGGGTTAATCATTGTTACAATGATTTAAAAAAAGCGGTACAATTTTTTAAATTACATAAACTGTAATAGCTTTCAACATATGATTTTTTTTAAACGATATAATATAATAGGAATATAAATAGGATCTGAAATTGAGACATACATTTCTATATAAAATATATCACATACTATATACATAGTCCAATTTAGCAATGAATGAGTTCAATCGAATCATTGTTTCAAAAAGAGTTTCAAAAAGAACGATATAATTTTTATTATAAATTGTCGATTTAAACAAAAAAAAAATCACACCGTCCTGTAAAAGTATTCAAACTGTTCGGTATTTACCATTTTCAACTTATGATTTTTCAAACGATAAAATTAATCGAATCATCGTTACGCTTTTTTGCATATCTATTTAAAAAAAAAAAAAAGAACATTACCAATTCGATCTCTCTCAAAATTATTTCCTTTACTTCTTAAAACAATTCGAGATACGCGTTTATCCAGATGAAGAAAATCATCTATCTGAGAATGGAGTAAAGAAGTAAAAGTAGAAGGGGACGAGAGACTAGGGGAGAAAGTCTGGCAGCGATATTAGACTATTTTGCCACGTGAGAATGATCCGCGGATTCACTATACGAAGGCAAGATATTTTGCGTTTTATATATATATATATATATTTATCTCTTCGTTCGTACGATGCATTATCGCGCCGCCTCTCGCATTAAGGCGGGGAATAATTAATAGGGGCCGTGTACGATTCACAGATTACAGCTGTGCGCCCGTTAATATTTAGAGGAGAGAACGAATTGAATCCCGATATTCGGCCGTGTGTCTCATTAAACGAGCTTCGAAGGCAATTAAACATGACTAACATATTTGTAACGGTCGATGAATGGGCAGAAAGCCCCATGGGCCGTGACTACGCGACTCTCCGACCGAGGGTAAACATTCGTATATGCGCGCAGTTTAAACCGTTCATACGTTAGTTATCGCGCGGCCGCCGTCGCTGCCGCCGTCCAAACTGTGCACGTGTGCGCATACGCAGTATAAACGGCAAAATATTACCGAGCGTTCGAGCGTTAAACGATAAAAATATATCCGTTAAATTCGAATATACGGAAGATGGTATCGCGATTACCGATTAAGTAAACCGAAATTTCATTTCGAATCGTACGAAATTGTTATATAACCGTTTCATCGAACTGTATCAATAATTACACGAGAATCGTATCGTGAAATAATTTTCACGTTTCATCGCGCTCACATCGCCTTCCCATCTTAATTACCCCGTTTTATCCGTCTTTTAGATAAAATTATCCAATCTTTCAAATGCATTTCGCGTATCTTACGACAATTATAACATCGTAACGTAACTTCGAAACTTGAATTTAATCACTCGAATCAACGTTACGTTGATTCGTCAAAATTGCATTATGATAAATTGATTATGCCAATACTTATAATAGGCACGAATTTTTCATCTTTCCATTCCAAAATTTTCCATTTCTTCACCTTCGATGCATTAACCCGAGTATTTTTATCGTTTAAATATATCAGACAACGAGCTATTTGAATATTTCGGTATTGAAATCGATAAATGGCGTTTTTTTTCTTTTTCGTGTATCGGTTCCGTCCGAAACGGGCTCAATGGCCTAGAAAACAGCCCCGGTGCCAGTGGCTCTCTTTTAACCGGGGTTAACGATCTGAAGGGAGTTTCGGCCACCGCTGTTCTCGGACAACCGCCCCGGAAACTCGACGCGTCGCGTCGCGCGTTGAAATTGTAAATGGCCCCGTGAGACGGCTCGCGAGACTTGAAGCACCGGCTGGTGCACTACTGGTCGAGGGAAAAGTTGCGAGTGGCGGACGGGAGAGGAGAATGATTGAGAATTGCGATTAATATAAAATCCAATTATTAATTGGTGATTATTAAATAATCATTGATCAATCAAAAAAAATATACATGATTCTGTTAATCTACTTAAAAATGAGCGATGGTCGTGAAATAAATAATAACAGCGTTCTAACAACGTTCTTATTTTTTAAAATATTGACGGATGCATCCCTGTATGTATTTTGCACCCATCACATCTTTGAAATTTAAGTCCTCAATTATGAGAACGAAATGCAATGGTTAATAAATAAGAAAGTTGTGATCAATGTTCGCGATTGCTTTATTAATTATTAATCACGAAATGATTACATTTTTGATTATGATCTGTATTGTAATAACACTGTGAATATTTTCTTTTTAGAAATATATATATATATATATTTTAGATAGTTTTTTACATAGAAAACTCTTATAAATTACTTATTTATTTTTAGTGTATTAATTTGCTTTTAATACAACAGGTATTTCAAACATTTTATTTAATAATTTGTGCGTTTATCATTGCACCTTATAAGCATAAATGACAATGGTGTATCATATATAAAATAAAAATTCTATTTTTATTAAATTAAATTATTAAATTATTAATTATTAAATTAAATAATATTTAATCTTAAATTTCATTGTTCACGCATATATGTAATATTTCTTTGTTTTGGATAATAGATAAATTTCTGATTTGAAGTATCACGATAATCGTTAACGATCATTGAACAATTACAAATTACAGAAGCTAATCACGATTACCGATTCATTTCAATGATAATCGATTACAGTTACTCAAATGATCAAATTATACATCAAATTACATTAAATGATCAAACAGAAATTGCAAAAAAGAATTAATTACCGCCCGATTCTGACAAGAATCCATCATCCCCCTTTTCCAAATTTCGCGGACGAGGATATTTTCGAGGAGGATACTTTCAAAACGATGAAACTAATAACCAAACTTGCTTCAATTATGAACGAATATTTGAAAATTATTGTCACAGAGATTTTGGGGGGTCGAAATAATTGTTCGTAATCGAACTGTTGTTACGAAAAATTGAATGGATCGCGTTGAAAATTGTCTTGGAGGATTCCTTCGATGTGGGGAAGGATAAATCGAATAATTATTAAACAAAATTCTTTCGTTTCATTTTTTTCCGCGTCACGTCCACTTGTGCGCACATAATCTTCGACCCGCGCCCTACGTAATACGGAATTTATACGACGAAATTATACGACACGGAACAATTCATTTTATTGTGTTTCGTGCGTTGTCTCGTAGAGAAAAATCGATGAAAATCATGTTTGGGGG